TTATTTTCCATTTTTATATAAGAAAATCACTTTTACATTAAAAATCGTACCGTTTTCGGCCTCTGCACATTTCTCACTGTCACGAACAGAATATTTGCAAGAATTATTTAAGTAAATTTTATGATATCTAATATATGTTTGTTTGTGTCATATAATCTTTCATTTGCATTTAGATTGTTGGTGAACGGTATGTGACTTGAGTTGTTGGCTTAATGAGAATAGCACAATGCCGCTGACACTGCCACCAAATGCGGCAAAAAGTAAACGAGATTTCACATCGTCAGCAGGCGGATGTTATCGTACGTACGAAGACACTAAACGTAGTTGTAATATGTATATATATATATACATATATATACATATATTTAATGCTGTCTTCGCTCTTTAAAGTGAATCTTTAGGACTCCTCTTCTTAGCTAAATATATAAAGTTGTACAAATAGCTTTTAATTTAAGGGATGGCTAAGTAAACCCCTTAAGACAGTCAAACAGTGGGAAATAATTACTACCCAAGAGTCGATATACAAAACAGGTACCCTGAAGCGCACTCTATGATATCTCTGTTTTTCATGAAAGCATCTTAAAAATTTTTATATGCAAATTTCATATATCACGCGACAGATGTCCATACATCTGACATGATCGTCAGAACTTTCCATTACTCCGGCTATTGTAATATTGCAGTAGGATTATAAATAAGGTTTAGGATTTTTTAATAAAAGTCAAATTAATTTAAAATATATTTATTGTACATGTGGTTTAATACCATTGTCAAAATGGTCTTTGAACTCGTATCGTGAGTAGTAATTTGGTGATTTTGAGATAGGTCCAGAGAATAGTCCGCAATTCGAAAAAGTTTCCAGCCGAAGTTGATGATCATACACAAAATAATTTTTCGAGCCTCGCTTTCCCTCAAGCCACTCAAGTCAAATTAATTTGCATGATATTCAATTCCATCAAACGAAGCTCCAAAGCCTTCACCGCGATATCTCGCAAAACGATTTTCTAACTTTTTCATAGCTCACTGCATTTTTACCCCAAGCCAAGTTAATCCGTCCTTTAGCTTCATTTATGTTTTTTTTTTATTTTTTCAGTTTAAAGGAGAATAACAAGCAGTACCGTAGATGCTGTTTGTTGACTGACAGCCTGCAAACAAATCAAACTTATAACGTGCAAGTGCACAATGTCAAAGTTATTTATGCACCAAATTTGAAGAGATGCTAACGCCTTAGATACGTTTTGTAAAGCAATTCAATGCAGAGAACTTATTCATACACGCAATGTTGTCCGCAATTACATCCACTTTGGAAGTGGTGTGCATCCATTTTCGTGCTTCTTTTTACTTTCTTTCTTGTCTCAGCGAAATTACCAATTGCATGAGTAAAGACTTCACTTTAAAGATATCGAAATTGATTTGATGGGGCACTCGATTTGAACTGTAACGCCATCAATCATAGAACCATTGATCCCAGTGCAATCTACAATATATTCTTGCAGATGTGCTCATGACAGACATCATTATAAAACCAAGTTCGAATATTTGCAGAATCGGCTTACAGTGGTAAAAAGTTTCACACCGCAATAGTGCGGACTTTTTTCTTAGCATTTAACGCATGACATACAATAAAGTATGCAATCGTGTTACCTACGATTAAATCTTAATATAATTTTAAATTTAAGGGAATTATACCGATGGCCAAAATTGTTTCTGTTCAACTCTTCTCCATTGCTTGACCATCAATATCTTGGGCACGATGCGTTTATAAATTCATCAATCGCTAATCCGTGCCATCGTGATTCTATGGCGCAAAGGACGAAATGAATGAAAGTCTTCTGTACCCATAAAAATAGTATAAAATAATCGCACAAATATTTTTACGAATTAGTTTCACTTCGTGCAAGGAGGAGACTTCCCACTTTACTTAGTAAAACAGAACGCAATTTAATGATAAGAGATTCTAAGTATTACATATACCTATAGATATATTCGCCATGAAAGATGTCAAACGCAACGACACAAGCGTCAAAATGCATTTAACTGCGCTACGACTCCTATATGGCATAACTCATATCGCAGAACTTTGGGTTAACTTATAAACACTTGAATGAGCATTGAAAAGTATTTCAAGCGAACAAAACTGTGCCGTTTACGATATACTCGTGATAGTGGTGGTATATAAATCTTATATTAGACGAATCGACCTATAAAATTAAATGAATTTAGAATTTCAATAATTCTCGCTCATATATGAGGCTCCACAACCATTCAGATGCTGTATGTGTAAAACAATGTATGTAAAACAATAGCGTAAATAAATTAAATAAGTCGTGATTTTACTCACAGCGAAGTAGTACTTTCGGGTTTTAAAAACGCAACATTCTTACATTTATATGAATGAATGAATTTTGAGGCATGACACCTATGAACATAAAATCAAGCAAAAATTGTCATTTCAAATAATGTCATTTGGCCATTGACTGCAACAACAAACAACGTAATATGTTGTAATGAGAATTCAAAAATAACACACGTATGCGTAAGTTTCTCAATCGCAATTGGCTTTAAAACTTTCAATGCAATATTGACTGTTTACCTAACGAATAGCGTACCTCTTTAGATTCGTTTTCAAAGAATTTGTTGTTTTTCGCAAAGTTAAGGATAATCAAAAGAAAGAGAAAAAAACGAAAACAAAGACATAAAGACGAAGTATGTTAAGAGCGTGTCGACCAACCACGACCGCCTCTGCGCACATAAGCCCATTGATCGAACATAAAGATGCTTATCGGTTAGAAATTTCGAATAATTTGGAAAACATTACATTTAAAGCTTTGAAGAACGTAGTTGTACCTATCCATTCCGCTTATAATATTCAGAACATTTGTAATTAAAACAAGCTGTAACTAGTTATCCAAATTTGACCTTCTACTTCCTTCTGCTGCAGCCTAAGCCGAATCCTGTCCTTAAAATTATATGTGAAAGTAGCAAAAGTTATTGAAAATAAAGCGCATGGAGATCATGTCAGTTTCCACTTTACTCTCAAGTTGAATGTTTGAACAGCTTCAGTCAATATTCGTCCCGAGCTTTGAATCGGTACCTGTTGCACGCTATTACTGAGAAAAACATTTAAAACAAGTAAAAAAATTATATTCGCCGGCGCCCGAATCTCGCATACCTACCCCTATGTTTTTCGCATTCTACTCTCCAAGTTCTTTTATTTGATACCCATATCGATGGCATTATTAAGAAAAAATTAATCGCCATACGTCGTGTACCATATGCATTTTAGAATTAACCCGTTTTTTAAACAGATAATATGTCTTGCTTGCGTTAAGCTAAATATGCACAAAACCAAAAGAAGTGAAAACAAAAAATGTAATTACTTGTGACTTTGTGTGGGCATGGCCGATATTTTGCCTTTTTTATACGTAAAGAGTAGAGTTCCGGGCAGTTTAGGCTCCACTGCGAGAGACCGCAAAGATATAGAGGAAAAACATTGCTTCGATTTACTAATATGTTGCCGATCGCCTCCGAATGCCAACGCTAAAGTTCCATCGTTCTATTGTATGTAAAAACATAAAGATTTTCCACGCATTGAATTTATTATAACACCCTGCCCTACAGTGCATAACGATGTGTGGGAATTTTAATGAAATGTAAATTTTCGCTTTACTGCACTAACTTTTATTTTGCATAATATAAGATCATAAATAGATTTTCGTGATCTAGCCCTTGAGGATTTAGATTTCTAATATACTTTAAGATAATCCATACTAAAAGCATACACTAAGCACAGGATTGTGACTAACAACTCAATGGTCGCTGGTTCATATCTCAGTGCGGTAGAGATTTCAATATGATCTAAATTTTCCGGTAGTCTGGTTAAGTCCGTAGTTTGTAAATTTATTTACAAAGGCACATTATGCAAATCCGCATAAATAAAAAGAAACGCCTTTTTAAAGCTCATCCATCATATACTAACTTTTCACGGCCACCAGTACGGAATTTCATATTCTCTTCATAACACGGATTGGGAAAAAGTTCCGAAGTCCTGCGAACTATATGTACTTTTGGTGAAAGCATTTAACCGTTCATTCATACTTGTCCTACGCTGCCTATCGAAAATTCGAATGTAAGCTGCAAGCTTCCAAGCTTCGACTATCCATTGTCAGCTATACGGTAAACATTGCAATGAACTTTTCCCTAAGCAGGAGCGCCCTAGGACTAAAACTCTTCTATAATCTCATTTTGCACACACTCACTCATGTGTTTTCGAAAATTCCTCAACTGATTTCCAAAAAATTTCGAGAGGCGGAAATTCGAAAAGCAACCTAATCTCATCTAGCTGAGATAAGACAATTTTGAAAATATTTTCGTAAATAATCGGTTAATAAGAAAAGATTGATTGTTGAATTTTCTAAAAGAATTTTTAGCAGAGGAAGGAGACAATCCGTAATGACTGCAATGCAAATATCTATTAAAAGGGATGAAATTTCCATAGATTTTAATCTTAGACTGGCAGTTGTGCGCCACTACTAGTAGTCCATCTCCTTAATGTAATTATTTTTAAAATTAAAAATAATTATCGAAGCGGATGAGGAAATTGCAATGAACTTACCACGTATGCCATTTTTATGCGAGAATTTATCAAATCAAGGAAATCACGAATTGTTCAATCCATGTCAAAGTGCCAAACGTTGATGGAAATTACGAACAATTAATTCATTTACAGAATTGTTAATTCACTTGTGTAAATCCTTGCAGTTGCATAAAATTCTTGTTTTGTTTTATTGTTTCTTCTTCTTCTTCTTCTGCTTCCTTTTTACTTTTTTTTGTATATTTTTTTTGAATGCAACTACTACACTACGCTGACGAAAAACAATAATACAAATACAAAATAAAATAAAAATAAACAAGAAACGGTAAAATAGGAGAAACCATGAAATAAATTAAGAAAAAATACTTAATAGAAAAAAAGACAAAAAACAGCAAACACAACCAACCTCTGTCTGTCGTTACAGTCAAGTTTGCAAGCAGTTTAAGCTTAACCGCAAGCACTCGACACACAGACACACACACACACACACACACACTCCCATACACAAACTGATTGCGACGTGAAGGCTTATAAAAAACAATCAACGCAAATTTTCTACTTTTTCATAAAATCCGTTAAAAAAAAGAAAACAAAAAAATTTCTTTTATATTCTAAATATATTTTTGTTTACATAATCCTTACGCTCTCAACCCAGCGATGCTGTATACTTGTCGTTGTTGTTATTGTTGTTTTTTGTTGTTATTGTTGTTGATATTATTATTGTTATTATTATCTTTGCCTGTGTAAATAGTTGATGGTATTTATAGTGAATGTTACTCTCTACTAACAAAGAGTTAAAAAAGAAATAGAATGTATTTATATATATATATATATATATATATGTATATGTTATTTTCTAAATAAATAAATGATATCGTTTATTATTGTTATTATTATTATATTTTTTTCTTTGCGTAAACCTTTGACAATATTTATAGCGAGCATTAAAAAAAGAATTAAAAAAAAAAATTAAAAATAAAAAAAAAATTAAAAATAAAAAAAAATAAAACAAAAGCAATTTTTATATATAAATTTTCATTTTTATTTGCTAAATAAATAAACGATATCCGCTAATACCTATATTCACATTTATGCGTTAAGTTATGTGAATAAAAAAATTCAACATTAATTTTAATAAGTATTTTAATGCATTTCTATTTTTTATGAAATTTCTTTTCTTATTTCCTTTTTTTGTTTTTTTTGTTTTCTTTTAATTTTTAAATAATAAATCACAAATAGTTTATAGCACTCTTGCACTCGTTTAATAAGTTTTCTGTACAGACGTGCAGTAATGTTAGCAAAAGGCGGTCAAAAATGTGACTGAATTGTGTTTCAGTTTCAGGGACAATAATGATATTCCCCCACTTTAGGCACATGTTTAAATGTATCTTTCAGATGAGGTGAGTTTCATGCATCAAACTAACACACACACACACACACACACACACACACACATACACACATACACACACACACACAAATGAAGAAGTTCTGCGTAAAAATTTTTGAGTGAATTGTATTTCAAACGAAAACCAACTACAAACATTCTACTCAGTAAGCAGCGAATTTTGAATACACATCAGTTACCATAACTATGTATGGTTTTCTCTACTCACTCATTCAGCACCGAAGGGTTATATACTTTTCAAAAATCAAACACCTTTACGTAACAGATTGATCTTCACGATTTATGACGACTTTCATCCGTTTGTTAAGAGAGGACAAAAATTTCCTGAACTATCGCCGATATGCATATGACATTCTGTTTAGTAAATAAGTGGAATTGTGAAATAGAACGGATAATCAATTCGGGCTTTATAACATTTTTAAACCCTTGCATGTGCCATCTGGCAACTACGCCATAAGTGATTTCTTCAAGATCGTCGTTAAAGAAATTTCTTTAATTTCGAATATTTCCCGCCAACCATTCCCAAAAAATACAAAAAACGCCTCAATTTATATCAGATGTTGTAATAACAGTGGTATTGATCTCAAACGAAAACTTGAAAATGATTTTCGAATAAAAATTCTCTTTATTTTTTGAATATACTAGGATTTCCCCACTCCAAGTCAAATGTATTCAAAGCACAATTACGATTGTAAAGCAAAGAAAGAAACGTTATGTCAAATTTTCTCTTCTCGATTACAACCAAAACTCACCTATAGCGTAATTTCGGGAAACAGGCAAGCGAAAGTAACAAATGAAATTAATGTTGAGATAAATCCGAGATAGCACGTACAGAATATATTTACAAACATTTTTTCAAATTTTAGTCAGTTGACAGCCCGGTCTTTGGCATCGAAAATATTAGCAGTTGCTCGAAATTTCATATCAATATCTGCTATGGATTATACTTTTCAACGGCAATATTGCGGAATCATACGCCTAGTTTGTCTAAGCAAGAATCATATTTTGCCTTCGTATCGTAAACAAATGTTGTTGTGTCTTCGTCTTACATAAATTTTAGAAAAACTTCAGAATACACCGATTTCCCAAAACAAGGCAAAAAGTGGTCCGATTTCAACCATTTTCAGCAGCGTTCGCTCTTACGATAAACGATAAATGTCAAACTATATCAAAAAGTGCAATCTGTAAGTTGAACACAAGAATACAAGACGGACGGACGAATGGACGTAGATCGCTTCGAGAAGTGATTTTGATTGAATCGATATAATAAAAGGTGGATCTATCTCAAATTCATGTGAGTGTTGCATACATCCGCACTAACTTAATATGCCAATGTACCACAAATAGCGTAGAGTATAAAAGCAAAGAAATTGGCTGCAGGTTTAAATACTAATCACGCACGTTTTTTATTTATCCATTCTTAGTTTTGCAAGAGTCGAGGAGTTAAAACAATATGACCAAACTAATATGTCTTTAGTCATTGATAATGTGTGAGCAGGAAACGGAGCACGTTTCACTCATGTAGACCAAAAACCACAATTTTATTGCATATAAACGTTGAGCAAAGACATAGAGAGATAACTAAGAAATAAACGAAACTTTAAGTTGAAATTTCGAAATCAAAACTTGTTTGCATTAAAATTTCCTTTGTATTGAATAGTGAAGAGGTCAATGTATTGATATGTTATCGATTACAAATTAAAAATTGAGTGAAAACGAAGTTCATTTACTTCAAAAGACACCGATTTTCGCCTTCAAAATTTTTCGAAATATTTCTTTTTTGGTAAATGAGTACACAGCTTACATTGCAATCCCTTAAAGGATGCTTTGCATTTTCTTTTCTCTTCTTTTTTTATTTATTTATTTATTTGTTTTTTGTTTTTTTTTTGTATTTTCTTTACATTTATACAAAAACTTTTGGCCTTGTGCGTATGTGCGTGTACATTTTCCCCCTTAATACCATTCCATAAGTGTTAAGCTCAACTCTTTCATTCATAAAAGCTTCGTTTTATTCAATTTACACTCATATTATTTGTACTCAAAGAGCTTTTCACCATATATTCAACAAACTCACCAAAAAATAAAAAAATAATATATAAATAATAATAATAATAGTAATCCTCAAACCTCGTATACATGTATGTTGACTAGAAATGTTACACTCAACATAAGCGTAAACATGGCACTGGAGTAAGGGTACGGTTTGTGGGTGCAAGTGTTAACACGCACATAGTCCGCAATCTATGCAAATAATGCATGTAATTAATAACAAAATCAGCAGCTAGTATTACTTAGCCAAAGTATATATGTACGAATGTACTCACTGTGATATGTCCAGAAGATGCTGTGTTTTTTTTTTTGAAACATTACCTTTCATCCATCGTTGGAGGAAGCCAGTGAGTGTACAAAAAGAGTGTACCCTTAATTCCATACGAATTTTGACTCACTTCTGCATCTATCTAGTCGCTTATTCGAGTTCGTTTGGCTCTTCAGCCAAATATCCTAATTAGTTAAATGTTACGATAAGAAAAAAAAAAAAGTTCTTTGATTGATTTCGCTTTTTTTTTTACACTGAGCTCGCACTTACTCTTACTTAATTTTAAAACTTACTCTAGTATCTCTTATAGATCGTAAGCTAAAGTGTTTGGTCTATTGTTAAGGCATCAAGTCCACATTCAAACTTGATTTTTAATTAACAACTGAAAACCTATAGGTCAAACATCAGCCTTGTTTCAAAAACCGATAATGCGACAGAGAGAAGAACGGGTGGAAGAACAAGAGAAAAAACGAATGAACGGAAGAACGTATGGGGGGATGAATGAAAGGATAAACGGAGAAGCTTACAGACAATGAGCTTCATTTACAAATGAACGGACCAACGGAAGGCTGGAAAACCCTGAACGATTCAGAACTTTTCGATAACTGAACACTCTATATTTATATGACATAATAGGATAGACATTTCAAAATGTTATGAATCGACCAACAACTCTCTGTGTATTATAAATTAATTGAAGCGAGAAAAATTTTTTAAAAATTTTAACAAAACTTGTCTCCACTTTAGAGATATATCTTTAAGACAGTAACGAGGATAGCAAGAAATTGGCGGGGGGAACAGGACTAAATCCACTCGGCTATTCAGCTCGATTACGAATACTTATACTATATACATCGCAGGTATATAGTTGTGTTGGAAACACTTCAAGCCCATATGTTTGTTCAACTTCTAAGTTTGTGTGTATTGGATTGTCATCCAAGTGAAAATTTCCTTTCCATTCCATTACTTTTGTTTCGTTTAATAAGTACATACAAGCACAATACTTTCTTATCACTTTTGTTAGCCTCGTAATCATTGTGTACTCCCTGTTATGTAGTTAACTACGTAAAAACCCGACCGTAAATGAAAAAGTATATATAAGAAAGAAAACGTGTTTACGTGTTTTCAACCCCTTTGCAATACATTTGCACTAATTCCCATTATTCTCATATTTTTAAGGAAAAATGATAGTTGCTTTTATCTGGACACTGTGGACATGCATTCTAGTGCATTCAATTTTTGATGGCGAGATGAGAATGAGAATGAAACAATAGAAAAGAAATTATTATTATATTGGTAGACTTAAATCGCGTTCGAGTTCATATATCTAATATTTTCTTATCGTTCTTACGCATTTCGATGTTCCAAATATATTTCCTTTACTATATGTATATAAATTCAATAATAGCGTAGTATTAAGCGAAGGTAACCTATTGCTTAATTGTAATATGTCGTAAAAAGCAACGAGTACTACATTTCTACTCACTTGCAGAAAAACGTACCTATGGCGACGTTGGACAACCTACTCGAAAAGTAGTATATATAGCGGACCATTTCCGAACGATATACCAACAAAGTAATACCGAAATTACAAACGAAGCAACTGCAAACATATTCTTAATTTTTGAGAATTTTTTAATTTTTTAATTTTTTTTTTTTTTTTGTTAATTATTTGCGTACATAAGTATCACTTTCTCGTTTACCCCACCTCTATCTAGAATTCTTTTTGACCACCATCTACGCGTATAGGCGACATTCCGATAGGACTGCTCATATATATATGTATATATATATATATATATATATAAAGACTGCCCATTTGCACGATCTGATGTAAGACAAAGAAAGGAGTTAAACGTCCTTAATTAAATATTGAAGCGATGTAATCATGATTTCAACCGGAAGACAAGCAGATATTACAAACCGATGGCCATATGTAATAACTCAATAGCTCAACGGGTGTCCCTTCTTCGCATAACGCTATGACAATCCTTCTGACTGAGAGGAAAGTGAAAAACGAAATAGGGAGATGATGAATTGCAGCCTAGCGGCTATATGCCCAATCGAAAAGTGTTATGCCTATATTGACAGATCACGGGGATGTAGAGAGAAACGGATAAAAGCGCACAACTATATAGACGGATGGACGGACCAATAATTAGACGAACAAAAGTTCTCAAAAGGTATGATATATGAACGGATCGGTGGGCAAAGTGCTTTTGGAATAAGTCGCTCGGTAAATTTAACATTCACACAGATGGAGAGACGGGCCGATACACATTTATCAAACGAGAGCACATGACTGGAAAACGTACAGACGGACCTTCAAGGCGATAAGACAGCATGCCTTTTGCAATACGCACTGGTAGACTCACAGACTTATGAAAGAAAGCCAGTCTTACGCGAGAAGGATGCAGTTTCAAACAAATGGACTGAGAAATGTGTGGATTTGGTGAAAGACAAGAGAATACGATTATGTTATTTCTGATTATGAAGTGATAATAAATTTGTAATTGTCGCCAAGTTCACTATATATCTACAGCCACAGCTAGAAAAAAAAAAACACTACATTTATACACGAATAGACATCG